GATGAAAAGAGACAGTGGTTGGTGTAAGACATTAAAAAATAAAAAATTATAAATTATTGAGCTTTCATGAGGGAGGGAGTGTGGAGATGGGGGGAGGGGATTAGCTGATACCAGGGCTCAAGTAGAAAGAAAAATGTCTGAAAATGATGATGGCAACATATGTATAAATGTGCTTGACATAATGGATGTATGTATGGATTGTGATAAGGGCTCTAAGAGCCCCCAGTAAAATGATTAAAAAAAAAAAAGGTCATCACTCCCAAGTTTCATACTGGTAAGGCAGATTTTAAGTTGTAGGTTCAAGTAAAAACACTGTAGTTTTAAATGTACATGGTTGAACACTAGAAGTTTACTTAAAGTTTTTTTTGTTTCTTTATTTGTTTTTTATTTGTTTATAATTAATGAAACTTGATTTTCATCCATAATCAATGCAGTACAAACGGTAAAATGTATTTGCATGTATTTATTTGCAGTATGGCATGCAGCTGTACCAGAATTACATGCATCCATATCAAGGTAGAAGTGGCTGCAGTTCTCAGAGTATCTCACCCATGGTACGTGCCAGTTACCTGAACCTCTATGGTATTTTTCTTTTATGATCATTATTTCCTTTTGGGCAAGTAAAATCAGTCATTGGTACCATCCTGCTGTAAGTTACATTTAAATGTTGTATTCTCGGATTTGTATGTTTGTTGCTTGTGTGGTAAATTCATAGTAGTACAAGTTATTTGAATGATTCAATCAAAATAGATACTGATATTTGTTAAAGAGAATGTTAACATACTGCAAAGAAAATAGTATGTAAGCCATTCTGTCTCATTACTAATGGCATGATCATTTATGGTAGATTTCCTGGAGATAATAGGTTGTTTCCTTCATTTTTGTTCAGTGATTCTGGATTGATTGAGTGGTTTCTGGCATTGCCATAACCTAGTATAAACACACCATTGTTGTAGAATTTTACATTCAGAATGCATCTTTTGTATTCTGACTTTCTAACAATGAAACTTAAAAAAATTCTGGCTCCTTATAAAACAGGCTCTTTTCTAGGAAACTCCCATACTACAAACCAGAATATAGGTCATGCATTGCATTAACTCACACTGATAATAAATATTGACAATATGGTTATATTAATATTATAACATAACATAATAAATATTGATAATAACTGTAGTCTGGATCTTTACTTATAGACACAACCCCTGTTTTTTCCTTTTCGTTGAACCTAATATTAACATAAGAATTTTATTTCTGAACTTAAAGTTTATGTTCTGCTATTTTTTTTTTTTAGTGCTTCTTACTATTGAGTGTAATAGGAATTCAGATTTACGTGCCTGGCTTACAAATCAATTACAGTGCATACTCGTATTTTGAAACCTGTATTTTCACTTATATTAAAAATATATTCTTCGTAGCTATAACCGAGGAAGGAACATTTACCCAGTATGTAACGTAGAGGATGGAATACTCCATTCCAGGAACGAGGCGTGAAGTAATGCTGAGTACTAAGCCCGAGAGGCTGTAAGAAAAAAGAGCACCAATTCTGTAGTTACGTTACTTCAGGCCGTCAAAGAGTAACTGTTCATCTTTGTGTTATCTTACTTTTAAGCTCTAAAATAAACCAAAGAATGTAGTGATTTTTTACAAAAGCAGTCACTTTAAGGTGAGTTTTTTCAATTTGTCATTTCACCTTTTCCTTTGATTCCATGTGTTTGTAAAAATATAAATGAATGCTATTGTCATAATCCTTTCCTAATCCCTCCAACTTTCTTTTATTCTACAAAGTTACTAGAATGAGCACGTCAGTAGCAGCATGCATTTGGAAGCATTTAATGCTTAATTTGCTCTTCATTGTAAGAAAAACAAAGTCCTTTCTATTCTCATCACTGTTGTTAGCATACAAGTGTGCTTCCCTTCTTCCATTGAGAGTAACCCAATTTTTGATAAATATGTATTTGCTAGTTTGGTTTCGGTAGGTGTGCTTGTTTGGCGGCCCCTATATAAATGAAGGCATGTTCAGTTAGATCTGTTAGGAGGAATTTGGAAGTGTAAGGATTAGGCCAACCCTGAGAGATGTCATTGAAGAAAAGATTGCCAATGCACGTCTCCCATAATCAGTCACTGAAAACCTAATGGAGCAAGTATGGAAACTTCCTAAGATAGAACCAAACATGTTGCAGAAATGAGTTGTGCTGGGTGCTCAAGAAGACTATAATTTCTGCAGAAAACAAGGTCAACAGG